TCATCATCTGCTTTTGTAACTAATGCAAGATTTGTTCTGAAATTTAGTGTATTGTGTGCACTCAAGGGTTATTCGTTTTTTGCTGAAAACACCCCTATTTTTTAATGGCAGAGTCGAACTAGGTTCACTCCCACTGGGAAATATGCATTGTCGATTGAATGAGAGCAATTAAACACATTTTCCAGACGGCGAAAGATATGTAACAGCCAATTTTAACAGCCTATCACGTGATTTTACTCAGAATGTCAACATGGAAAGAGGCTATTCCATTTTAGCAGGAATAATTGGGAGTAGATATGTGAAGGATTGTATCAACAGAGATGTTTATACTGAAAAGTAATATCTATTCTTCTTTTGCATCGCTGAGCATTTTTGTTTTAGTATACTGGTTTGAAAATGTTGAATTTGCATGATTTGCGATGTTTTTTTTTTACTGGAACGCCCCTAATGGTTGATCCCGGGTTTGACGGAGAATGTAACAGCGCACCTCGTGATTCGTTTGAATACAGGTGAAGGATTGGCAGATAGGACGTAGTTTAAATTTTTGTTGAAGTTAAGAGTTTCTCCACAGAATTGCGCACTGGCAAGCATGCCGTACAACTGCGGTACTCCACTGACGGGATGACTTTTGTCGACAGCAGTCGTCGCTGAGCTGCACGCTACAACTTCGCTTCACCTCGTGATGTTACTTCCTATTCGTGGATTGAAAGAATCTTGATTACCCGTTAAAATGTTGGTCATTTGGCGTTGGTAATCTTTATTTTGAACTTGGTAACGCTGCAACGTCGCCAGCAGAAGCCTCCTGGTACTTCGATGTTGATGGTTGTGCCTCCATGGCAATCGTTAATTTTACTGCGGGGGGGGGGGGTCTTCCGAGAGCCCTTCAGGGTTTATAAAACTCAGTTTCCAGGTGGTCAACATACATCAAATTCTCCGCTCAAAAACAGCTGTTGCCATAGTAGGACATTAACGTGAAGCCAACGTCGGTTTATAAGTAAAACCGGGCACCGTAAACGAAGTTCACAAAAAATCATCCAGTCTTCAGAAGTCACTTTATTTTATTGATAGGACGTATTCTGCTGTTAAATTTATTATTCCAACCGTTTTGCGATAGTATTTTTCTGAATGGGGGGCAGCATTTACATTCCATTCAAAGTTCAAATTTGCGTTGGGATTACGGTGATACAGTGTAACATTGTCGGCGCCGGTGATCTCTTACCGGTGTGCAACGTAGCCAAAATAAAAGGCATGATCATTTGCTCTCTACTATTACAAGACTGGTATGAGGTAATAAACTTGGGGCGAAAGTATTCAAAAAACAGTTTTTGGCTGTTGCCATGGTAGCGGTGGACGAGGATTGTTTTTCCAATTAATGACGGTACGACCTGCCTGTTAAGTATGAACAAAATCAGCCAAGCCTAACTAAAATCATAGAGTAGTTAAAAGCCGATGCTGCTAAAAACTTTGGGGTCAATTTTCTTAATAATGAAAATAGACAAACACTCAAGCCGAACAGAATGAGCTACGTCCGTGCTTTTTAATCATAGAAATGTAGGGTGTGATACATTTGGCGCGAAAATGTTTAAAAAATCAGTGTTTAACTGCTGCCGTGGAAACGGTGGACCATTTGTTTTCAGATTGTAAAACCTAACTAGAGTGAAGGTGTGACTTGCCTGCCAAGTTTGAACCAAATCGGCCCAGCCGAAAAAATCACAGAAGAGATAAAAAGCCATTTCTGGTGAACAGTTACCCCAACTTTGAGGTCAAATTTCTCATTAATGAAAAAAGATATCAAAAATTCAAAAAGTAACTTTGTGCCAACACTCAAGCTGAGTAGAATGAGCTATGTCTGATGTGTTGTATCTTAAATTTATAGGAGATACATTTGGCCATTTGCAAAATAGTTTTAGTAAAAATAAGTGACTGTCTAAAAGTACCATTACTGTTGTTTAAATTTTATTTCACTCGGCAAGAATATTCATGTACCCCAAGGGTAATATATCGTACTTTTAAATATTGTTTATTTCTGGTATGTTTTGAAAAACGCTACTACTGAACGGACTACTTCGTTTGCTCTCAGACCTCACTTGCTTATGGGGTTTGGAAATACTAGTACCGATTATGATTTCAGGAACGAATCAAAATAAACTGCAGTACATATGTAATAATGTGGAATACTTCATTTTCACTGAAAACACTTTTCCGTTAAAATAAATTCCAATGAAAATGCCATTTCCTTCATACACTATTGAGACTTGACACAGCGTAGTAAAAATTAGATCCACACGTAATGCTTGAAAACTTTTCAGTGAAAATAAATTAAGTGAACTTCTAGGAGACTTCATGATAGTTGGAAATGAACAAATTATATGACACCCACCCCTACCCCTCCACATACACTACACCCCAAAACATCCTTTCACCAGTGTATTCTATTTGACTTCAGGGGAAAATGAAATAAACAAATTATATGACAACAAACGTAATTTTAATTTCAGCCTCTAGTTCAGCACTAACTACCTCGTCTTTATGCCAACTTGACAACTCATTGCCTACACCAGTGACTTCAAAGTCTATCTTTCAATCCCAGGAATTGTACTTGCTATTAATTGCATGGGAGTGCCAGTCTTTTATTTTCTATGAATGTCAATTTCTTGCGATTATTCGGAACATGCAACTGTAATCACAGACCGCCTAGGTGCTATAAATACATCCTGATATAAGCACTGGTTAGGCAGATATGAACTATGCATGTGAAGCCAGCTGAGAGTTATATCCAATCCTATAGATTTCTCATAGTTTGGTAACTATTTGCTGCAAATGCAACAAAATTCAATATGAAAATATTACTCACACAGCATTCTACAGGTTACTTGTCTTGACTTAGAGAATTTGGTGACCTGTCGCTAACTCGATACTTTAACAACATGCACATGTATAACTTTATACAATACGTGAGTTATTACAATCCATGTAACTATGCCTTATTTTGCAAACTAATACGTAAGTGTGAGGCGGTAATACACAGCATGATTTATAGTATTGTTGTTTCGAAGAAATAATGTACCGCGTAAATATGCTCACATTTTCTATTATTATTATTAGTAGTAACAATGCAACACACATTTGCACGAGGCTCATTTGTGCGAGACCAACATGCAATTTCAAATTTCAAACTCTGTGTGTATTTAATTTTTCAGAGCTGATGAAAACGGTTTCAGTGTGAACCTGGAATCCAACGCACTAGTTTACAGCAATGGTCAAGTATCACACTGGTCCAAACCGACCCTTCTGAAAAGCACATGCAAAATTATCGTCCGATATTTCCCTTTTGATTACCAGCAATGCCGCATGAAGTTTGGCTCGTGGACTTACAACAGTTTTCAAGTAAACTTACAAAACGATTCCATTGCACCCGATATGTCGACGTTCATGCCCAACGAACAGTGGGACATAGTTTACGCCGTCACCCGACCTCACGTAGTACGCTACGACTGCTGCCCGGAGTCATACCCGGATGTGACGTTTGTGATTGGTCTGAAAAGAAAACCTTTGTATTACGTCTACAACGTAGTGTTGCCGTGTGTGCTACTCACTGCTTTGTCATTGGTTGGTTTCAATATGCCGTTCAACATAGGTGTAGTCAAAGTGTCCCTCGGTGTGATGTTGCTACTGTCGCTGGGAGTGTTTAATCTGCAAGTGTCGCAAACGATGCCAAAAACCTCTGAAGAAATTTCTCTGCTAGGTGAGCGAACTTAGTTTAGACTTCTCAAACATTTCCTAACTAATTAAAAATATCAATTTTATGCGACGGGAACTGTGGTTAAAATTCAATATAGGAGTGGGCATGTCCAAACATTGGATATAATCATGAAATAGGCTCGGGCAATCAGGTTTAGAATACCACTACATAATGCTATGCCGCCATATTGAAAACAAATTTTCTCATCCCCATGGCAACCAATCACGCCTCTGTACAACTATTGCCTCATTACCCAACGTATATTGTGTATATATTGTTATGACGACTTATACCATATTTATGTGACCTCAACCTTATATGTGTTGAATTGGGATATGTTATAGGCGTTAGTTAGTTCATTCACCGTGAAACCTTTGCACGGATACATTGGATTCAATCCATGTAAGTATTCGAAATGTTGTACACGCGTTGTATGAGACCTATACATGAGCACGACATTGCAAATATTGCGGTTCAACAAAGATAACCTATAACAACGACCAATGTCAATAAAGTTCGGTTGACCACTGATATCATGTGTTTAATACCAGTAATTAATCGAGAAAATACGACCGATGTCAATAAAGTTTGGTTGATTACTGATATCATGTGTTTTATACTAGTAATTAATCGAGAAAATACGTCACAGTATCCGGGAAAGTTACAATGGGGAAAACGTTCCCATTAGTTTAATATTATGAATTCACTCACTGCCATCCGTTCTAAATATATGTGCATATGAACGTTACATTTCACATTCCTCTTTCTTTGGCGTGTGAGGGCGCTCATTACATATTACACCACTGAGAATGGTGTTGAATATACCGTTGCAAGTCAGCCGGGAGTAAGGCACTCCTGTGACGTCAACATGACGTAAATGAGTGTAAACTATGTCATTCAAATTAATGTGTTTGGTTCAGCAGGCGTTCACCTTAACCACTTTTACTTCTTCTTCTCAGGTGAATATTTTGCAGCTACAATGGTTCTCATTTCGTTGTCTGTTGCCATGAACGTGGCGGTGTTAAACATCAACGAGTGGGGAAAGAACGGAACTTACGACGTCCCGGGCTGGATACGCGTCTTCGTAATGCAGTACATGGCCATGTTCATGTGCGTAAAGCAATGCTACTCCGTCAACACTCTGGCAATCGACGGCGACAAAAACAACGAACGCAATGGTAAAGGAAAGAAAGGGGGTGGCAATCTCTCTAGTGGCAACATAGAATCGGGCACAGGTACTTTTGAGAACGGCAGTCCTTGTCTGAGCCACTCGACAACATTTTACGCCCAACCTGACACAGCGGATAATTCGGTATTACCGATAGACCCCTCATACAGGCGGGGACAGGTGTGGTTGCCGCGTGATAACGACGGATCTCAAGATAACTATAAAAATAAGAAAAATCTTGTCGTGCACCACGAGGGACTCAGAGGACTGGAGAACAGTTGTCGGAACACGCTTAGCGCTCCTATGATCGCACTGACTGAGATCCCTCCGCCTCCATCACCACCACCGCCGCCGAATGCACAGATCAATCCGCAGTTCACGAGCGTCCCATGCGCTCCTCCGAAGAGACGACTGTGTGACTGTAAGCAGGAAACGAAGTTGAGCAAATTCACGTATACGTCGCACCCTCCTCCAAGGCTGGAGAGGCATGTAGAACAAATCGCAGAACTGATAAAACGTCCACAACAGTTTAGTGAACGGCGAAGACAAATAGAATATGATTGGATGGTCGTTGCGACGACGGTCGACAGATTCTTACTGGCTTTGTTTCTCATATGTTCTGTCATTTTCACGATTACATTTTTAGCGCAGAGGCCCGGAAATATGGAACCACCAGAGGAGGCTTACGCAATTGACTATGAATATTAAGGAGAGAACGTTTCCTGCTATGTTTGGTCCCGGCACCACCGTGACGTTGTAACAACAACGGTTCGGTCAAAGCTACATCGACAAAGACTGTTACTTTCTATATCGAGCGAGTGGGGTTGTAAGAATTTTGTGAACACATACCTCAAACTTAAATTTAGTGTGTCTTCTGTCTCATGCATGTACGGTGTGGGAAACAATACGTCTGTTCGCCGATTGCAACGACAAACAATTTATGATGCTATGTTACCATAGCAACGAAGGTGGAACAACGTGATGGGATTTCCCCATGTCGACGCTATGATGTCTTCATTCGCACAGTATGTGTCAGTTTAGGGCCATTGGTGAAGTTTTCTTGTAAAAAAAAAACTAGGACGTTTGAAAGCAGACTCTAGAGGGGGGTCCGCAGACAGAGAGAGAGGGCTCTATCATTTTCATAAGTGGCGCGGATTGTGTGCATGATTATGAAAATCATTATTTCAAATTTCACAATATGAAAAGCAATAATACAGAGTACATATTACATTTTCAAGTTTAAGTTTAAGTTTACCTGAAGTCCAATATTCACGGACAACCAATCATCGCATTCAGTTTAGTTTCCACAAAAAAATAATAACAATCGAAATGTTGCACAGACGCACAGTACATGGCGGCCATTAATCAGGGAAATGCAGCATCTATAGTTGCCGTTGGGGTTGCGGTAGGCATACATTGGGTATACTCATGAGAGTAAGGGTAACTCATTCTCCAATTTACTGATACGTTAGGTAAATAGCCGAAGCTATGCTTGTATTAAAGCTAAATATTCGTGGCCATGCTATTGCTGTTACCAGCAACATTGACACGCAGATCGTCGCAAACCAACCGATCTGACACATACCGCGCGTGGAACTATGGGAAAAGTGGTCGGAACTATTTCCACTTTGTGTCAACACAGGTGGCGCTATTCCGTTGGTTTGCGGCGATCTGCGTGTCAATGCAATATTGAGAAAAGATAGACCTTTGACCTCCCAATTTACATGCATTTTAATGTTAATAAAATAAGATATTCTGATGAGTGTTGTGTGTTATTTTAATTGATCAACTCATTAAAGATTAAATCTTGCTAAAAATCGGGGGAGGATGTGTTCAAAACAAGAAAAATACTTTTATATAGTTCCGCGGCAGAAACGCTGAGAAAAATGGTAGCGGATGGATATTTAGCCTTCAGAGGCTAGTTATGCGTCATAAGACACAGGTCTGTGCTGAATAGCGCCACCTGTGTTGACACAATGTACCAGCAATCTTCAATTGAACATCCGTTATATAACGCGAGAGGAATGGCGCACAGGGCGTATCATGTTGTTCAGCCGCCATTAATACTTATGTTTAACTGGTGCTAAGTTCGTGTCCATGGTATCATTTGTGATCTTAATTGTCACATAGACTTTTATTCAATATCCTGTTTTATACTTGAAACCGATATCCAGTATTATTTTCCCGTCTGGGTGAGATCCAAACGATGATTGCTTTTTGGTTTTGAACGTTTCTACTTACTAATTCAACTATTAGTTAAATGGGTGATGGTGTTTATATACTGAACTGATAACTTGAGTTGCTCCCTCTGTTGGTGACTGTGAGGGCGCACTCCATAAAACGCGATAGAAACACCTGAGACATTTAACCACCAAAGTCGCCAGCACTTGGAAATGTACTTCCTAAGATTTTCTGTGCTTTTATTTTTGAGTTGATGATTATGTGAATTCCAACTCGAATCTTGTCACAAGTTGATTACAGTAATCTTCCCTTAATCGAGTGTAGTAGAATTAAGCGATAACTGGTAAAAGATCATGTCCATTATTCAGAGTAAATTTAGCTACGACTGTGTATATTTCTTGTTTTATGTTGGTTAAGCTATAGGCCGTCGCACTTGTTTTCGTTTTGCGCGTATGTGCGTGCGCAGTGACTGGTTTGCGAGAACCCATCGTTCCCACCCGTAGGTAATACAACAGCAGTGTTCGCTGCTGTTGACATTACATATTACATATATGTGTCCCTGATAATAAAACAACCAATGGGGACCGCTGTTACAGCTGATCGCGGGCTAGTGTTTTTATCAGACATTCACATGCTGGTTGGCAAAATTATAAAGAGATGACGTCACAGTGCGACGGCCACTAGCCGATCATGCCACTCGTAATACTAGTATGTAGAGCAAATAAACAGAATATAAAATACGGAAATAAACCCTTCATGTACAAGTGTATTATTTGGTTGTTCGTGTATGCATTCCTGTAATTCCATTTAAAATCAACACAAAAAAATCACGCTGGCAACAATATTATGGCTGGTTCCCCTCTCAAGTCATAATAATTCGTAATGGTAAATTATTCTAATTGGTTCCGTGATTACGTTGACGTCAGTACTCACGCTTTTTTCACAGGGAATAATCTTTCTATATATAGCAGGGGCTTTATTTACATTCAAAAGTTTCGAGAGAATATATCAACTGTTCCATGTTTAAAACAACCAGAAATGCCAGAACCATTATGAGGTACCAGTAGACAAACTGAATGGAATTGATGCCCTTTTGATATTGTAAATTGATTTAAATAGAACATTGGAAGTAATTGGAATGATTTTAAATTGGTCACGTAAAGAGAAGGCCCAATTTTCCGTTTTTTTTTTTTTTAAAGAAGAATATGGTGGTTACTAATTACCTGGCCATTTGTGTCGTCACATGACACACCCTCTCACAACAGTGGACATGGTGTAATATTTTACCCACGATCCTTTGCTGGAGAATCAAGATGGCGGAATACCCAGAAAATGAAAAGTGATATAAAAAACTGTAAATTGCCTTCCCCTACATTTGTGGCGCTCTTTCAACTGGAAAATGTATGCTGTTTGTCTTGACTTTGTATGTTACATAGGTCTGTAAATATCTTCAAAACATTATATATAAAGATCAATATTTGGAATCAACAGTACACCTTCATCGTCACGCCATATTACTCGATGACCGGGCAATTTCATGTCGTCGCTATTACCGAACGAAAAAAGGGAAAAAGAAATCAAAGACCCAACAATACCCAAATCACTCGGTCGAACCCATATCCAACAATACACACAGAGACGTGAATGTCATGACAACTAAAACCGATTTTCTCAAATGAACATGATATTACTCATTGCATATACAATGAAATGCAGACCTGAGACCTGGGAATCTACTTTAGACAATAGCGATGCATGTTGCGAAAACACGTACAGAACACGTACACAAAACTGGATACAACTCAAACGCTTTTCTGTTTTCACACCATACATGCCTATAGAGGGCGTGTACTTGTAATACTAGTAGACAAGTCATTGACCTCATGGCTGTCTCATAGGCTCGCTTGTGCTACCTTAACTAAAGACCGTATATTATCCTTGTAATCAATTGTTTGAGGAACATTTTACTTACCTCTTAACAAGAAAGAACAGATGTTAATCACCTACTGGCAGTATTGCATAACTTCGTATACTCCGCTTTCTGTATTACTGATTATTCCTTCAGCTTAGTCTATCACCCAGTTACAAAACGTAACTTCAACTTATGTGAAAGGTTGACCTTAACAAAGTGAAATACCACTTATCCGTTTTAATCTTTCTATATTTTTGTAATATTGTATTGTTATGTTTTGTATTGAATTAATTGTTGCAAAGGCATTCGCTCTAGTTCTTTCTTGAACCCAATATTGATAGTTCTAGTTCACATTTGATATACTTTAAATGATGTGTTCTGTTTTTGTTTTATCATTTTTCCATTTGTGTTTTGATTGACCAAACATACATTCTCACGTTTTTTGATTTGTAATGTATTATTCAATGTATTGTATTTTCTTTTCAGCTTTTCCTGCCTTGTTATTTATCGTCTCCTTGTTAAATGTTATACCTAGTGTGGTCAACTGATTTGTCTATACTTGATACTTGAGAGTGAAGTTTGTTCTTTCTTGTGAATGGCACTATCTTTGTCGTAGTATTGATTTGCAAACCCATGTTTTTGTGTTATTGTACAGTTTGTTTGAGAGATAATTGGAAGACTTTTCTATTTTAACATTTATAATGGAGGGGTGGACTGTTCATTTAGGTCTGAACTGTTGCATCTCTGTTTTGACGACGTCGATGAATAAGTTAAACAGTGTTAGTGCCATTGGCACCCATTTCTTCATGACCAATAGTATTCAATCTAGACACATGCACGTCACCAGATAAACTGTAGATACATCAGGCAGTAAACGGTACACCAATGTGCAATGTTCGAATGGTGAACACGCATTTATTCAGTTGTACAGGAACGAGATAAAGCTAGTTGAAAAACTACATACGCTAGGGCGATTGAGAACAATGTATCACTTGGAGTAAAAAAAGATGAAGACTGATTTAATTAACACTCTTTGTATGTTAAAGACAAAGCCGGATTCACACTTAGGAATTTTAATCCTTGGCACTAAGGATTTGGCACTTGGCACTAAGTGAGCAAATAAGGGAACATACACACATATAAATGGATACCAATGGCTAAAAACAGGTCAAAGTATGATAATATAACATGATAATATAACTGGATGAAATAAACACTGACAATTACAGACAATAATAAAATAAATCAGATAAAAAGAAATGAAGTTATGATTAAATAACATGAAAATATATGTGCCCACATGGTAACATCAATATGACTACAAAACTATAATAGGATAATAATTACGACTCAAGGCAATGGTATAATATTGAGCTCAACAGTTCAACCCAGTAAGGAAAATTTCAAATAAAAAAAACGGACTTTACCATCCACGCTATCTAATTTGAACTAGGAGGTTTCAACAAGAAAATTCTGAGGAGTAACATTCAACACATCTTCGATTGTGATAGGTGGTGTTAAGTTGTCTTCTAAGTTGTCTTAAATCTACAAAGGAGCAGTAAAGACTTTTTTTTGTCCTTTTTAAACCTAACATATTGTCTGAAATTGATTTACG